AGGCCTTTCCAGATTAATCTGAGCGAAAATATTAATCTACCAATGAAAGGTTCATAACCTCGATCGTTTTTTTTTTATTTGTCATAAAATCTAAAAACACTTATCACTTTTACAGTGTGTTTAATAACTGGATTTGATAGGGTATCTCAAATTTTAGATGTAGTACTTACTTCCTGTTGTAGGCTTCTTGTTTTTTTTTATAATTGCTCTCCATTTGTTTTAGTTTGACCTCAAGCTCGTTTATCCTGTAAAACAGTAATCATGATCTCATTACATTCAAAAATCGAAACAGAACACTTTTCCGGATGCATGTGTCAGTTTACCTAGAGTCTTTCATTGCAGTGGTGTTCTTTAGGTCCCAGTCTCTGTGTTGAATCTCTTTTTGAGCCAGCTGGTAAAGTTCTTCAGAGGCCTGCAGAGCCTCTGTGGCCTGGCTGCGAGCTTTGGCATGGACCTCTAACTCTTTGCTCAATTGCTTTTCCTGAACAATTAATATTATAATTAAACTAAAATTGATCCATGCAAAAGATCTAAAACTAAAATATACTGTACTTAGTTCAACTCTATAAGACTAAGATATACTAGTCCTATATTGCAAGGATGTCTAAACCTGCTCCTGGAGGGCCAACGTCCTGCAGAGTTTAGCTCCACCATCACCCTTGCCTGGAAGTTTCTATGAGGTCTGAAGACCTTGCTAAGACCTAGCCTGTGTATCACTCAGTGTATCGTGCACACGAATTCAAGCACTGGTAAGGACAGTAATGAAAAATATTGAGCATCGATACTCCCTGGCTTTCACAGTGCATTGTGGGACTTTTCAGGGAGTAAACATAAAAGTGCAGCCCTTAAAAAGGTTGACTAGGGATCTGATTGGCACACACCCCTTGATTTGCTGGTTCAGGTCTGTTTAATTAGGGTTGTTGGAGCTAAACTCTATAGAACTTATGGGTTAAATGAAGGTCAAATAAATAAATAAATAAATATTGGCAAAAATATGTGGATACCAGAGCATCACACCTACTGTATGTGCTCCTAACACTTTCCACTCTTCTTAGAAGGCACTGAAAAAAGCTGAAACCTGATTGTGGGAATGTGCTCCCATTCAGATACGACAGGGGTGTCCAATCCTGCTCCTGAAGGGCCACTGTCCAGCAGAGTTCAGCTCCAACCCCAATTAAACACACCTGATAATCAAGGTAATCAAGGTTTAACTAGGCATACTAGAAACTTCCAAGCAGTGTGTTGAAGCAAGTTGGAACTAAACTACAGGACAGTGGCCCTCCATAAGTTCCTGAGATACATTCCTAAAATACGAGTATGAGTTTAGCCGCTGACATTTGGTTAATGGGGTATAGGTCACTTCGGCATTCCAATTCATCATTCATGTGGACGTTTCAATTGACCCACATACTTTTACCCATGTGGTGTCTAAAACATTGGTTCTCAACCAGGGGTGCGGGGTCCAGTCAGAGACCCTTAGCAAAATTCCAGGGGTTTAGATGTGTCCCTAAAATAAATTAAATTTAGTTATATTAACTTAATTTTAATTGGAATGCTAAAAAGCACTAAGAATAAAGTACCATGTTTTTTAATCATTACAACAGAAGTACAGGAGGTACAAATTTGGACAACCACTGCTCTAAACAGCCCTGACCTCTAACATATAGTTTATAAGAGGTTTGATGGGATGTGGGTCTTACTTTGAGCTCATGAGAGAGAACCAAACTGGTCATTTCGTCCAGCTTCAGATGGAACTCATGCTCCCGCTTTCTCATTTCACTGTCAAAATCTGCCATCATTTCCTGTTGTGGATTGAAATTTACAACACCCACTGAATATAAATTACACTTATAGCCAGTAATGCAGTCATAAAGAGTTTTATGAAACGCTTATTTGACTGAGCTTAAACAACAACACTCAAATGTCAAATGTCAAGTAACAACACTGAACAATAACCTATTTTGGACCTGACCTAAATGCACTACAGCATAAATAGCTTTGGTTCACAAACACTATCTGTGATCCTTCACAGCCTTATCATTTTACTTTACAGAGTGAGTTGAGGATTGCTTTAGTGATTATTTCACACAGCTCAACGACTAAGAACTCCTGCCAGCTGGAATCCTTTTATGTCAGTGGGTTTACTTTAAATAACATACAATGTCCTGGCATTAATCCCAGGCTTTATACTTGAGAATTGTGAATGTGAATTGATATTTAGACGAAAAACTGCACCATAACTCTAAATATGCAATATTTTGTAACTTAAATGTAGGCATGGGCCCCACAACCCACAATAAATGTCAAGTTAATTAGTGAGGTCAATGTTGTTTTCTTTCTGTGGCAGTGTTTTTAGCATGTTATACCTGTTCATGTGTAGACAGAAATGTTTGGCCATTACACTGCATCGTGCACTGTTTGTATTTTTTCATGAGTGCTGTGCAGTGTTAAGTAAATATAGCTCGGCTTTTTTGAACACACGAAATGTACAAACAGGAATGGATGTCACCTGTAAGATTGTGTCTACCATCCTGCGGGTGATATACCTGTTTCTGCAGTGCCAGCTCCCCATCAGATTCTCTAATTCGTCGCTGGAGATCCCGTCTCAATGTTTCATTCTCCTCCCTAAGTTTTTGAATTTCGCTTTCCATGATGCTATAAAGCAAAAACAAATGTCATCAATATTACACAAAAAACAAACAAAAAACAATTTAGAAATCAATGTGGATAATCAAACATGGATAAGCCAAAGAAACAAGGTCATACTTCTGGACTTTTTCCAATTTGACTCTATGCTCCACTCCCCTCTTCTGATATTGCACTTCTATATCCTCCTTCAACCTTCGCTGCTCCTCCAGGGCATCCTGCAGTTTTGCAATCTCAATCCTCAGCTCACTGACCTCTTCTCGCCTGACACTGTCCTCCGTCTGAGCACGGGCTGCCAAGGCATCATAACGCTCCAGCTCTTTGTCCCTCTCCTCCAACACACATAGATTATACTTGAAATCATCACGCAAGCGGAGGAAACGCTCTCTCTGGGTGGACAGCTCTGACGTGGCTTCATTTAGAGCAGTCTCCAGTTGTCGGATCCGCAAAGTTTGAAGTACTTTCCATTCTCTTTCTTTACAAGCCAGCTGGGCCTCCAGGTCCACAGCTTCCTGCATTGTTACGAAGCAGATGTTGAACAACAGGGCACTGCAAGACTTGACATCCTGTTAAGCAAATCTGTAGACATAAGAAGTAATTACAAAGTGCCCAAGGATATTTTGAAATAAACATGCTAAATGAAACCTCGCACATCATATTAAGCCATAAACTGGTTATGTGTGTGTGTGTGTGTGTGTATATATATATATGTGTGTGTGTGTGTGTGTGTGTGTGTGTGTGTGTGTGTGTGTGTGTGTGTGTGAAAACAACAAGCAGAAATTCACGAACACACGTTATTTTAAACAATTTCAACAGAATTGGAACTATTCCAGCAAATTAAAATAGGTTTACCTTGTGTGTACGCCAAGAATGGATGAAGTGGTAACTTATGTGGTATTTTCTCCGGTTAACTTAGCTTGCATAGCACAGCGAATATTCTTCTATTTAATATTTTTGTCATAAATAAAGGTGACCAAAACTGACTAAAAGTTAAAAAAAAACACAAATACTCCAGAATTAAGCTGCTGAATATGTCTTAAATACTTCGTACTGAACGTTTAGGTCAGCTTAGCTAACCAGCTAAGCAATAGCATAGCATAGGTTCTAACTCGGCTCTGGGCGCCACCACAACCATGAGTGTTTCCATAGAAACGTTTCCTCTGTAACATCACATCCGCGTACTGGCAAAGAACGTCTTTGGTGCTGGGTTGAACCAGACTTTCTCTGGTTAAACCGGGTTGAACTGGATGAATGCCATTTTTACAGCTAAGCGTCATTTGTTTACCTTGAAAGGCGGAAATTATGAGTTAATTTCTGAATATGCTGATGCTATATTTCTGGACTATATTTCCCACTATAAAGGCATCACGCGTATCGTAAAGTTATAAAATGTTTCCGAGACAATGTTAAATAAGAAATCATGATTCTCATATAGTTAGCTACTTTGTTATCTGGTATCAAAATATAATGTTAGTAGTACTAAGTTAACGTTTCTGACAAAGTACAAAACATTTTACCCTACAATGACACATCTGTTATGTTGTGTAGCTATATCCTGTTATATTTATACCTGACAAGTTCAGACAGTTTTGCATTGGTGTATGCTATTTTTCCAAACCTAGCTTACGCAACTTTTCCTGAGGCTTACAAAAGCTGTACAAAAGCAACTGACGCAAAAGGAAATAAGACACCTACTGTAGGTGATTTCTACCTGCCTGCTGTCACGTTCTAATTTGTATCTATATTCTGTAGCCTACTAGTGTATAAATTAGCCTATGCTTTTCCTCTCACAAGGGATTTTTTAGTTTTATTGAGATGCTACAACTTCCAAAGGAAAACAAATTCTCCTCTTCTCTATTTTTGATAGCCATTAAATTAAAAAATAAAATAAAACATAGTAGCCTATGTTTTACACTTGGTTAATATTCAGTGCTGTCTGTCTACAGAACCAAAAGCTCTCTGAGCATATTGAAAATATTGTAAGTGTTTTTAGTTGATGAACTGCAAGTAATCGTCGTTTTGTAACTCCAGTTTCACTGAGTCACTGATGTGTGCCCTTGTGCCACATTATGTGTGAGGGGAAAATGCGTAAGCTACATTTTAAGTAAACGCGAGAAACGTGTGAGGGGAACACTGCCAAATAGACTAATATTTTTTTGTTCAGCAGCACCCAGCTATAATAATAATAAGAAACAAAGTCGATGCTTCATCTATGGAGGTAAGGCTCGTAAATCCCTTAAATCCCCGGAGCACATGGTTTGAATAGGGATGAGAGAGAAGGAGAGGAGTGGGGAAACGCACGTAGCGCACCCACACAGCCTCATCATTGGCTGCACGTCAGACACAGCGTGACTCAAGTGATTCACTAGTGACAGAACACAGAACAGGCTCAGTCAGATGAGCAATTCATTCAAGTGCTTCTTCAAAAGATGCGTGCCGTGCAAACGTGATGATCCTGGTGCCAGAGAGGCATCGTCAGAGAATTACCTTAATCACAGAGTATCGTTAAGGTATGTAGCCTATGTATATGAGTACTGACTTTAAATTTGTCAACATGTGTCCTGTGTGATAATGATTGGGTGATTTTGCGCGTGCGTCGGTCAACGGGGGATGCTGAATGCCGATGGAGATTGAATGATGAAAAGTAACAGGTTACATAAAGAGTTCTCTTGTTTCTATTATCGTTGAAATTATAAGCTACGCCATGTTATAGAATATAACTATGTCTAATAATATCCCTAATATGTCGCGAATGCACATACCGATACAATTGTCATAGCCTATGTGATGGTCTGATACATTGTAGGCTAATCTTCGAGAAGTTGCGGTTGCAATGGTGCTACGAATGGTAAGTAAGAATATTTAAGGATACATTTAAGGATACATAAGTACCCGTGGCTTTGCTTTATGCCCTGTGACGGTGTTCACCTGTTATGCCAGGGGAGGAGAGAGAGCCTATACGAAGTCACGTTTAGCACGTAGACCAGAGCTGTGGCGTAGTAGGCAATCGATGCTCTTCATACAAATATATATATAGGCTACACATGATCGCCTATTAGTTTAAATAATTATTCAGTGTTCAAATATTGTACACTGTCTTCCTGTAGAGCCGATTTTTGGTAACAGCCAGGTAGCTAAAACTTCAAAGGGTTTTGTGGTATTTTAATGTAGGCTACTTAAATCTATAACGAACTGTCAAATAATGACTATCTGTCTCACATCCTGAAATGAGCCAAAGTACTCGAGCAGCCTACTGTTTCCTTGGTTACCACCTCAAAGCAATCGATATTTTTAAGGAAAAAATAAATGCTGTTACTAAACTATTAGGCCTAAATATCATATGAGGGGGATTCAGACCTCAATTTCCTTATATACCACATCTATTTCAGGTCTTGGGACATCTACAACTAAGTTAATGATTTAAGAACCACGAATGACCTATATTGTAGGAGGAGTAAGGTCAGCAATGGATGTATCTAAATCAGATCCCCAGTTCACTATATGGGCTGCACTTAATTCCAATTCAACCCTCACTAACTTAATAATAATTGGCTTTATGCCCAGCTGCACTACTTCCTGAACTTCAGCCAGCTCCTTGTTTCCTGTCTGCCATTATTGGCCAAATTGATTAATTCAGGTGTGTCTGATTATTGTTGCCAATTGTTGCCATGACTACTGAGGTCAAGCACACCTGAATTGATCAATTTGACCAATAATGGCAGACAGGAAACAAGGAGCTGGCTGAAGTTCAGGAAGTGACATTTATGGTTGGTTACATTTATAAAATGCTTTTCACAGCACTCAAAGCACTTTCCATTGAAGTGGAGAATCTCCTCAACCATCACCAATTGCATCAATGCTCACTATGCTCCCTTACCAGAAATTACATCCCATTTCTGATACACGAAACATAAAACACACAAGCCAATACAATAAATATAATGACACGGAATAGAAGCTTTGAAGACGAACTGGTTTTTTTTTTTTTAGCGCTCAACATGTAGTGAACACATCTAGTCAACATTTATAATTAATATTCAGTTTAAATAGTGTAATGTAACAGAACAATGTGTTTACACACATACACAATAGTAGCACAGTAGTAGTGTGTAGTGAGCCAGGGTCCCTACTAGTGCCTGGACTTGTGTACACTACACACCACGATATTGTGATTTAGGGAGCTGATTGAGACAGCCAATGAAGGCATATATTATATGCCTGCCTTAATTAGCTTTTCAAAATACCTTATATATATCCCAAATCATTCATAAATATAAAAACTGAAATCACCCTCTTAATCGGGAGTGGTGTCACACATAGAGCTAGATATACTGAAATCAAAATAAGTAGTCTTGTCATTTCATTGTGACTGACAGATTAGAATCAGCCAGTTTCACTATAGTTTAGACATGACAAGAAGCGTCCATAATCAACAAAGTGCCAGTGCCAGCTGGTGTGCCCTGCTCCAAATAATTCAATAGCCTTTCTAAAATGAATCCTTGCCCTACATAATTCCTCCTAACCAAACATAATTTAAACCCCAACTACACATTCTGTATACAAATTCTATGTAAAATGAAAATAGACACAACACAAGTTACAAGAGAGGTGTTTTTGTTCATTGCAATCAGTACCACATGGGGAAATGTCAGGGTCTTAATTTAGGTTGGATATCATGGCACTGGTTGGGTATAGAGTTTTTTCACTAGAGGTTTTGCCCTCTCAGTCCCCACCCCCAGCCTGCCCCCTAGGTTATGTATATGTGGGAGCTTCAGATCAGAAGGAGAGAATCAGTTTTCAGGAACCTTAGGCGAGGTAGGTTGCACATACAGTACATTGGTTGCATGTCTTACGTTTACCTAATGTAGCTCTTCTACATCATAGCTCTTGATCAACTAATTTCCACTGTTACAAGTTGCGCAGCCTTTTTTCTGTTTTTTTAAACACTTCTACCACATTTACATTGATAAGATTCCTTAGGTTGTCTTATGCTGTTTAATGGCATTTATGTTTGCATTGTTTATGCTTTTCTTTTGTTTATTAATTATTTGTATAAAGTATACAACGCCCTTACAGTATATAGTTGTTTTTGGCATTCAGATCACTAGTTTCATATTGTTTACATATTGATTTCAATGCTGTACCAACAGAGGATCAGGTTAGTATTATGAGCATGCATTAATCCGTCACTTTAGTTTAGTGCAGGGTTGTGCAAACCTTCTCCCTTTTTTGAGGGGGCCATATTTGATGTTATGGACACAGTAGCTTGAGTTGGGATGCAGATGTACATTTATTGTCATTAAAACAAACTAATAACTTTACAAATTAATTTAGTTCGAACTCTAATCTTATTAAAATTGGTCTTCTGGTATCATATATCTATGATGACAACCACAGGTAACCAACCATACTACCAACCATGGTAAAAGTATCAATGCTGTTTAGTCTATAAACATTTCATATAAATACAAATTCACTAAACTACTAGCGTATAACAAAAATGTCTGTAATTTGGTGTAGATTTCATTGCTCCTTTAATACATCGGCTGTCAGTGAACATGTCAAACCTTGATCCGACTTTCGGATTCTTTCAGAGGATTCTTTTAGGAGTTGTGAAATTTGTCGCAGATGGCCAAATCGAAGCCAAAATCGCACAGTGATATGCACCCGGCTTTACTCGCTAAACGATATCGTTCACGCTCCCGCCAAACAGCGCGGTGTGAAGAGTTCGAGTTTGCAACAGAGGAATTGATGGAATTTGGTTAGCCGTCAACATCTGCTTAGTAGCTCTTCAGTTGATACATTTGAAAGGGCACACATTGCATAGTAGGTCAGATAAGTGTTTGCTAATTCTGATCCTGGAGCACCCCCAACATTACACACTTTGGACTTCACTTTGGAAAACACCCATAATTCAACTCATCAGGTGTAAAATAAGGGACACGCAGACAAAATGTGTATTGTTGTTGGTGGTCCGGGGATCAGGATTGAGAAACTGTGTTATAAGCAACATATTTTACTCTTTGATCTAAAATGGAAAAATTTCGAGAGCAGGTCTTGGCAAGAACATGAATGAGGAAGGGTGTGAATGCAGTGTGCCAGACCAACTGCAGATCTAGCAGTACAGAGATATTCAGTTGAGCATTAATGATCCACAAGCAGTAGTCAATTTATGTTTAAAGTCATGTTGTGACCAATCAGATGAAATATTTGACTGTAGAATTAAGCAACATCCATGCACTTTCTTTGCAGCTGAGACCTGAGGTGTACTGAGCATCATGGGTGGAGCAGTTGTTGACAGTGGCAACAGCGGGGTCAAGGCACCTGATGGAGGATGGGGTTGGGCTGTCCTCTTCGGCTGCTTCGTCATTACTGGTTTCTCCTATGCATTTCCCAAAGCGGTCAGCGTCTTCTTCAAAGAGCTTATCCGGGAGTTTGGCGTGGGGTACAGTGACTGCGCTTGGATCTCCTCCATTCTTCTTGCAATGCTTTATGGCTCAGGTAGGGATGTCTTTTTCAATGTTCTTTTTGTTTTTGTTCTTTATTCAATATCCTGGATGCTAACAGTGGTTTGCTTGTTGCAGGGCCTCTGTGCAGCATCCTAGTGAACCGTTTTGGATGTCGCCCTGTGATGATGGTCGGGGGCCTTTTTGCCTCGCTGGGTATGATCATGGCATCCTTTGCAACCAGCATCCTTCACATCTATCTCTGCATAGGAGTCATAACAGGTGTGCACTCTTTTGAGAAATGATGGCATACTTCATTTCAACATTAACACCCTCAAATTTGACATTAACACTCAAATTTATTGTCCTCTAGGTTTGGGTCTTTCTCTGAACTTTCAGCCATCCCTCATCATGCTGAACAGATATTTCAGTGAGAAAAGGCCCTTGGCCAACGGCCTGGCTGCAGCTGGAAGTCCCGTGGCTCTGTGCTGTTTATCTCCTCTTGGTCAGATTCTTCAATACAATTATGGCTGGCGTGGAGGCTTCCTCATACTGGGAGGGATTCTACTGAACTGCTGTGCATGTGGAGCCCTCATGAGGCCCTTGAAAGCACCAAAAAAAACCAGCGAGGTATACGAAAAGGAAACGAAAGCCAAACCAAAGGCCAAGCTTCTTGACTTCACAGTCTTCAAAGATTGCGGCTTTGTGATTTACACTGTGGCCGCGGCCATTATGGTGCTTGGCCTTTTTGTACCTCCTGTGTTTGTGGTCAGCTATGCCAAGGAACTGGGCAATGAGGACACCAAGTCTGCCTTGTTGCTCACCATACTGGGGTTTATTGACATCTTCGCCAGGCCCACGTGCGGCATCATTGCTGGGCTCAAGTGGGTGAGGCCACGATGCGTTTACCTCCTTAGTTTTGCTATGATCTTCAATGGAGTCACTGATCTTGTTGGGTCCATGTCCAAAGACTATGCATCTCTCGTGGTGTTCTGCATTTTCTTCGGTATCTCTTATGGCATGGTTGGAGCCTTACAGTTTGAAGTGTTGATGGCCATTGTGGGAACAGAGAAGTTCTCCAGTGCCATTGGCTTGGTGCTGTTGGTCGAAGCCATTGCGGTGTTGGTGGGACCACCTGGAGCAGGTCAGTTCTGCAGTTCATATTCTGTCTTCTGTAGTTTCTGTGCTGTTAAAGAGAAATGATACAAGTCCCAAGATGAATATTACATCTACAGCTAGTCTTATTCAATCTCTTGCTAAGAACATGCAAATATTAAAAAGCATGAAAAATTCACTCTGAAATATTTTCTAAATGCATGTAATAGCACTAAATGTGAATGGTTAAAAAGATGCACCTTTGAAACCTTTGCCTTTTTCTTACAATCAACTGCAAGTTTGCATTTAGAACTGCCTCCATCTAATCCACAATCGATGGATGGGACCTTTTTTGTTAATTGGTTCCATTTAAAGGATTAGTTTACCCAAAAATGAAAATTAAGTCATTAATTACTCACCCCCATGCTGTACCAACCCTGTAAGACCTTCGTTCATCTTCGGAACACAAATGAAGATATTTTTGATAAAATTTGAGAGGTGGATCACTGCTACATAGGCTCCTAAGGGATTGAAACTTGACGGCCCAGAAAGTCATTGAAGAAAATGTTTAAATATGTATTTGGTATTTTATTTGGTTCCTCTTTATTAGGATATGGACTAACAAAGTGCACATGGATTGTTGTAGGTGTCTCTCAACAAGCACATCTGCTATTCATAGATCCATGGGCATGTTTGCCCCGATGGCCTGTCACCACTATTATATGGGAAGTTCATATCAATGTTCTCTTGTTTCATTTTACAGGTCGCCTTCTGGATGCCACAAAGAACTACATGTACGTCTTCCTGCTGGCTGGGTGTGAAGTGGTCCTCTCTGCCCTTGTGCTCGCCATCTGTAACTTGCTCTTCATCAAAATGAAGCCCCAAGAGCCTGACCCTCCAGCCAAGATGGAGATGGCCATTACCGAGACCGAGGTGGAAGAGCTCAACAAATCACCAAAGGATGACCAAGACAATGAAGGTGCTGCTAGTGAGAACGGGAAGAAAGCTGCCGAACCGCAAGCAACGACGAAATCTGATGATAAAATGGCTAACGAGTTGGACTCGATAGAGTTGGAGAACGCTTCCAAAACGGTGACTGAACCAAATGGTGTGGTAGTTGAACCTGAATCCTCTCTGTGAAGATACTAGAACAATAGATATATGACAGAGCTTCCCTAGGAGGACTCATGGACGTGTGTTTGATGTTGTGGTGTATGCGCTTCGAGTGTGGTTGTGAGGACCGCTTTCAGAGCTTGCTCTGCTTTTTAGATAAAGCACTTGTAACTGGATTTTTTGCAAAACACTGCCTTGCATGCTAACAGATGTCAGGATATGTTCTCAAAGGTTCTTCAAAAAACCGATTCAGTTATTTATGTGGCTCCAAATCTTTGGTCAGTATACACTCCACATCAGAGCAAGGCATATACTGAAGATTACCAGCTTGCTTCTTTGTGGCATTCAGTGTTTGCTAATGTGGATAGTTGGTTTGTAATATATTTTATCGACGGTTACATTTTTAAACGGGTCCTGAGAGTTTTAAAGGTTCTATTCAAATCCTGAATTTAAGACCAATCCAACCAGACTAACCCATATGCATGACATGCAAATGAGGATCTGGTTTAGTCTCTTTAAATTGGGCATGTTCTTGAGGAATGTACAGAATTCAGATAAGCTTATTTTTGTGGAACATTAAGTATATAACTGTTGTAGGACAAAGCGGTTACATTTTTTTTAAAGTTTTTTTTTTTTGGTAAAGATTATCACTATTTATATTAAAGTGTTGATGTCAGTTGGCACCTGCTCTTATATTTATTCTGTATTTATTCATCGAAATGTCACTGTTCTTAGACCAACTGCATCAATCAGAAGAGGACCACAGTTTTTACTTGATATGTTGGTTATGTAACATTTATTTTTAATTCATTAACTCGTGCATTGATTTTCAGTGGGCTTTTATGGTGACACAAGATTTTTGAAATTGGTGGCGTGGTCAGAGCCCTTTTAAACTTTACCTCGTTTTATCTTTCACCAGCATTTGTGATTAGGGACCCTAATCACAAATGTTCAAAGACACTTGAGCTATTTTTGGTTGTGCCTTAAGTCTTGTAGCAGTACAGAATTTGTGGATAGAAATAAAAACATCCTTTCCTCTCCACTGCATCGTGACTCATTTTTATGGTGTTTAAGTGTGTTTGTAATGATTTTAAAAGAACCGAATAAAACGATTACAGGATACCATCCTTTTTAAACTTCATTCCAACATTAGGACTAACAACTTACTGGAAATTAAAAAATATACATTTCTAATTGAATTGTGATACCGCTCATCAAAGTAATTATCTTTTACTAGCTAAGGCTCTGAATTTTAAATGCCCTCACTGCTTACTCCTACTACAAGACAGTTGCACATAGTCCAGATCCTATTAGCATAGGATTTGTGCAGTATTTTCAGTTCAGTCCAGCTGGTGTCCATCTGCAAATGCACTGGGCTTTTGACACCTTATCTGAAACATGGAGAGGCATAAACAGTGATCAATCCTGCTTCTAATCTACCCTACTGTAGAATTTAAATCACACCTTGCTTTAACATTCAAGTGAAAAAAGATGTTTGGCTAAAGCAAGTTAAGCTAGCTAATAAACTAGATGTACACTGAAAATAAATGGTTCTGTAAGGCATTTCATATAACCTTTTAGGAGTTCCCACCAACCAATTTGTCAACATCTGCTTTAAATGCTTGAGCTTTTATACTGCAGAATGGATTCGGATTGTGTCGGCAATATTTTAGTTTTCATCGTTCAACAGTGATTCCAGCACTATCATTTCTCAGTGTCATTACAGCTACAGTTGTGGTAAAGACTCCACATCTTTATAGTTATCGTTCTAGAATTATTGCATATATATCTAGGGGCTAAAGTTATTTTTGTAGACTTGTATACAGAAAAACATACTAGTAGATACACGCAGGAAAATGCTAGAGTACAGAAAAAAAAATGGCTATATATAGACACATTTAGAGAACATGGAAAAACAATAATTTCCCTGGACTTCTATGGAACTCCAGCATGACACAAGAATAGGTGGTTACATTGGCTGAAGTAAAAGATGCTAATTTTCTAGAGACCGGGACAAGATTTAAAAAAAATTAAATCAATGCATCTTAAATGGTGGATATGCAAAACTAACTATATTTAGTTGTCATTTTGTGATAAACATCACTTCAAACATCTGTAAATGAAAAAAAAACCTTGAACCATTAGCTGTAAATGAAAGATTATGCATAAAAAAAACAAAGAAAAGCAAATACAAGTAATTTATTTACACTGTTTAAAATACACAAATACAGTGGTAATACAAATTCTTAAAGGACTGACAAATTGGCATGACTTCCACAAGTGTGTGTAGCCCAAAAAGCCATGGGCTTCAAACAGTGGGAGAATCAGATGAAAATTTTTACCCAGGAAGTAGCCAATGTCCTCTGTTATAGATGACAAGGGAACGAGATGACCAAACCAGCTTTCAAGGTGCATCAGAAAAGCCACATCAGTGCTGGAATATTTCATAAAAGGGGAAATCAATTAACATCAGAGCAACACTTTGATTTGTTTTCATTCTTTCAACCTTTGTAAAAACAATCGATATCACCAACAAATGATTTACCACTACCAAAATACCATCAGAGCCATCAGAACACAACTTGCATCCATTACCTTTACATCAGAGTATAAAAGTCCTTTTTAAAAGACACGTTGCAGGTCTAAGCATGATCTCCATTCATCAGTCAAAACAACATCCTCAAGAGTCAAAGTTCAAGTTCAGAATGCATGAAACCCCCAAAGTCTGGCACTTCATTGTTGTGGCTTTATGAAAGAGTGGATCAAAATAACTAGTGATAACTTTCAGACATAATCCATCTGCGGTCATTTCATAATCTCTCTTAAGAATTGCATGGAAACATTTACACAAATATTTTACAGTTATTTCACAGCTTAGAAACAGAAGACACACAATAATGGGGGAAGCAGTATTTTACAAACGGGCGAGGTTCACAGACTCCCTCTGTGAGGACGTGTACGACTGAAAACGACGCTGTGGATTCAGTTTGCTATGAGCTGATGCTGAGATTTTGGCCATCCATTCAACACCACCAGCTTCAACAAGGGAAAGGAACCTCACCAAAGGGCTATTAAAATGTATATTAAAAAATAAATACACTGAGTATTGAGTAAATAAAATTAAAAAAAAAAAAAAAGTTAAGTAAACCCATAACAACCCCTCATGACTGTTGCCCAGATTAAAATACAAAAGAAAACCCAGTATACAAATAAACAAGACCCATTTAAACCACATAGATGATACATTAGCCTCAAACAAGAGGAGCCTCAACCAAAGAAAGTTGTGAAGCACTGAATGTATAGGAGTGTAACTGAAGGAAGGTCGCATAAGATGACAATGGTGTGGGGGCTGGGTGATCCAGTCTCTGATTGGTCAACCTACTGGTGTGATTTCACAACAGGCCATAGCTCTCATGTTCATTAGAACATTTACAGAGTGTGGGAGAGAAAATATGAGAAAGAAAAAAAGAGCCTGTTAGAAAAGAGGTCAGGTTGGTTTCTACACCATTTTGGTTTGGTCAATAGGAGGAGGAGACTGACGGCCTTATCTATTAGCTGATGGTGAAGAGCTGTCAATCAGGCATGTGTAGTTAGGTTGCCCATCGTGCTCCATATTGCAAAGTGGAGGCTTCTGGGACATGGAGACAATCTGTACACAGCAATAAGATAAAGGGAAACACACTAAATGACATTTGCCACAAACCAAACAAGTATTTTTATGAGACTGAAATTTGTTTATACGTTTTCACATTACAACAGATTGATAATGGAGGAATGTTTAAATGTACATTTTTATGAACAACATTAATCCATTAACCCAAAATGGTTCCTCTATGGCATAACTGCTTAAAAGGTCAATCCACCTCTGGAAAGATGAATGTGAATTTAAAATGGGTAATTTATGTAGAAGAAATGTGAAACTATTTTTGGATTTGGAGCTTTGTAGACTGAGAAAAGCCAGAAAATCTATTTTTGGCTTATGTGGATGAAAGACAACAACTCCCAAAATGCACTTGCTTCGCTGCCCTAGGAGGCCACGCCTACCGGTAACAGCACAGTAGGTAAACAAGTCTAGGCTACTAGTGAGTCTCCGAGATGAGTCTGCCCGAAAATGTTTCAAGATCACCCAAAATGTTCGGGATTCGGCTTTTGCGTACTACAGTCGCCATTCATTATGTTTACTGTGGCGAGCAGGACGAGTGAGGGCCGCGGGAGAACGACTCAAGGCCGGTGGCGTGATTACCGATGAGCGACACCTGTGAGACGCAAGTTACCGATCTCGTATCTCTCACGGAGGAGCGGGAATTTTCTTAGCAATGTTAAAACGTACATCAACCGATCACTTTTTTAGCGTTCATATTAACACTACATTCAGATTCACCAAATAGAATGAATTCAGTTAGATTGAAACAAAAGCTGTACATACAAACAATGAATGGCGACTGCAGAAAGCAAAAGCTGAATCCCGGATATCGACAGCCGGACATGTCCGGGAAAAAGAGGACTGTAACCCCTAAAGTTACTACTTGGCTTTCTCCACAGAACAAGAGCCTGCTAGCTTAGCTTCCAAAAAAGATGGCTGACACTATGTGTAATCCCAATCCTCCATAATGCATCCATCTGCGTATTCAGTATCTTCATCCATATTTTCAAAAATTATCTGCCAGTGAAATCAAACGCACTGGCACTGATCTATGATAGGTCTGTTAGCGCATATGTGGGCAGGTTTGAAAGGGTGGGTTCTAGTGCATGTAGTCTTTACAGAAATCCCCCCCTTTTACACTTTGCATCATTACAGTGAAAAAGGTAAATAGCGTATTTCTCTCATCTCAGGGGAAAATGAGAGTGTTGCATGACCATTCAATAGCAAAACTGGGTTTCTAACAAGAGAAAGCTTAATGCAAATGGGTGGAGTGTCCATTTAACCCTTTTTTGGAACCTTTATTCTTAAGAGTGATGCACAAGAAGAAAACACAAAAAGCAATGTGCAGCTAACACAAGGTAATCAAACTCACCTGGTGCACCTGCCTTCACACAAGGACGTTACCCGCAACTACTTGCCGTGGTGATCGAAGGGAATGCTATTCTGGGGTGAAGAGAGAGAACATTACAGCCTTCCACCCTCACAACACAGTCCTTTGTTCACTGACATGCAATTCACACCAACCCATAATCATACCATGCCTACTGTCTGTCATATTGAAACAATATATGCTGCTGAAATTACTTTTCCAAGGCATACAAATGCTATGTCAACAGCTTCCTAGAAAAGCTGTTAACTACCTAATAATCAGATTCAATTTTAAGCTTGGCGTCATTAAAAGGCTAATAGAGATTGTGAGACTCAAAAGGTAATTTATAAAATAAAATAATATTTTATCAGGTATTTATTTCAGTGACCGATTTGTAAGTGCAGAAATATGACTTCCCAATGTAACCATTCAAAGAAAGGCCACACGTACTGAACTGTTGCTTCTGCCAAAAAGTTCAATCTCTTTAAAAGCAGCTCATTCAGACACAGACAGCCACAAGACTTGCTGCTTTTTTAAAAAGGTTCATTAAGGATTTGACTGCTCTGCTGAAAGCTGGGTTGAGCAGGGTCTGCCTTATACCTGTGATGTGGACATGCGGGAAGTGTCTTGCCGCCCCGTCAGGTCTGAGGACGACACGTTCACTGGGGCGCCACGATGAAGCCGCATACTGACCTTCCGTTCACGCTCCATGCCAGTGACCGGTCTCGGTGAGGATGTGTTTGCTGTGTGACGAGAAGCAAGAGACGACTGCCTACAACAGTGTTTCAAGCAGTTGGGAAGAAGCAGAGGTAAGAGACAGACTGTTTACCTGTGTGAGAGGTGGGTGTGAGGGGGGTGGGAGGAGCACCATCCTGTGTGGGTCGGGGTCTGCCTGAGGCTGCTGGGATTCCTCGAGCGGCAGGATTCCTGCTGTGCCTCATCCGCTCGTCCCGCTCTCTCCTCTCACGTTCTGCCTCCTCTGCTGTACGGTTAGCACCCTGAGACAGAAGGAAAATGCAAAATTATGAAACTTTATGAGTGCATGATTAAGAATCAAACCGGTGATTCCAACAGAGTTTATATATATATATATATATATATATATATATATATATATATATATATATATATATATATAAGCCTTTTTTTTACCCCCTGAAGCCATATGGATTAATTTTATGATGATCAAAGTGACATTCTTAACCTTTTCATTTAATTTAATTTCAATGGTCAAGTTTAAAAGACCAGTTTAAAGAATGAAGACCATCCAGACATGTACTTACAAATTTGAGCATGTTCCAATCAAACACGTAGTCATAGGAAAAGCCCTGTCTGTGGAACAGATTCCTGAAGAGCTGCCTCAAGTAAGAGTAGTCTGGCTTGTCATCAAATCGCAGTGACCGGCAAAAGTTGAGGTACGTGGCAAATTCAGCTGTGGGACAGAAAAACATCCATATTACAATCCAAGTGTTTTAGGTCAAGTACAAAGTACATCAAAATACAAATTACACAAGGCTTTGAGCATACATGGGTAGCCCTTGCAAAGAACTTCAATGGGGGTGGACATCTTCTTTTCGCTGATACGTTCATACTTCTGTCTCTTGGTAGCGGCTTTCAGTCCCTGCCAAGGCAGTGAGCCCAAGTTGAAGTACATCAGCACATAGCCAAGAGACTCCAGGTCATCCCGCCGAGACTGCTCTATAGAGATAGGTGCACACAGAATTAAAGCTTGATATAGCTTGCGTGGGGCAACAACTGTAGTTATTCATGAATAAGCATTCATTTCACATTCATACACGCATGCACAAATTAAACTCCTCTGGGAAATGCTAAAAATATACATGCATCCACTTGAGCATGAGCACATAGTGATGTCATACAGAGCAATGGAAAGGAAAAAATACTCTTGAAAAGACATCAAATGATCAGTAACCACAGCCAGAGAAGCGCTGTCTATCACAACAAATCTGGGTCACACACACATATATTAAAGGCTGCACAATACTAGAAAAAAATGTACATTACGATTTACCTCTTCTGTGATATTGCAAACGTAAAGAAATATAGAAATGTTCACCAGATGACTTGAATGGCTATATTTGGAAAGAATGAATCATTCTAGAATAGGGTGATTTTGTTGGGGAGTGCAAAAAATTATAAAAAAATTTGGAAAATGAAATGGGAATTTTCATATTTGAGTTTACTCTTTACAAAAGTACTAACGCAAACCCTCTTTAAAAAACTATAGTGAACTTGAGTTTAAATGGGGCACATTCATGGGATGCACCAATCCTATATTCCACATACGTATTGGCTTTGATACTGTGATTTTTGCCAGATCAGGTATCGATCAGACAGGACCAGTCCAAATCCGATATGGTGCATACTCATTTCCCTACAATGTTCAAATATTCCCATTATTAAACTTGATCTGTAGACAAACTTTTGTAGATTTGCATAGACAGACTTTATCTGCTTGGAGTTTATGGCTGTTTCTAAATTGTAGAAGATAAAAGGCTTAATAAACTTCTGAATAGATATTGTGAACAAAACTTCTAGTGTATCACTGTATATCTGTTTGTGCCCTGTACTTTTGAATGTGGAGAGCTGCGTTCTGTGAGTCATGTTGCTTTAAGCACATCACTCTGCACCTGGAAAGTGCATAAGCGATGTGTGCTGCCCCGTGTTGGAGCCTCTCATATTATAATAATTTTGCGCACTGAAAGATTATTAATAATCTATATTTTCTGTCATATCTATCATATCTTATTGCCCCATTAAATAATGTATTTTATAAGAATACAAATAGTAATTTGTTTTTTATTAACATTGTACTATTAAGCACTACACTTATGTTCATTAATATTTTTTACCAGCTAAATGTCAACGCGAGTCTCTATTCTCTCTGCCATCTCTGATGTAATAAGCCAGGTTTTCTTTACATTAGCGTTGTTTTGGACTGATTGTTTGAATGAATACACTTACTGGATCATTGAACTGAAAACTTTCCAGGAGTTTAGCAACTTAAAATGATCTGATCGCAACCAGAGATGTAATATCAGGTTAAAGGGTTAGAATAGAAATTTCCTTAGAAATTTTGCTTGCGCCATTGTAGATGGAAGAACAGTGTGATAATCTGATGACTTCTAAGATCACGTAACTACATGATGTTAATGACGCAATTTCAGATGCTTCAGTAACTTATTTGCATTACATTTTAACGTGTTAAGGATTTTTTATGAGTTGCATGCGATAACATTAACGTTGACAGCCCTAATATATATATGGAAGAACACGAACATATACTGTATATATAAACACACACAAGCACTCACACCACAGTGATTTAAAAACTCATTGGCAAGATGTTTTGTTTTCTTACCAATGCCAAGGTGTGTGTTGATGGATGCATATCGTGCAGTGCCCGTCAGGTTTTTGTTCTCGCGATAGGGAATGTGCTGGTGTGTTCGTGCATCACGGTATTTCTTGGCCAGACCAAAGTCAATGATGTAGACCAGGTTTCCTTTCTTTCCCAAGCCCATCAGAAAATTATCAGGCTTAACGTCCCTATGAATGAAGTTCTTGGAGTGGATGTACTCAATGCGGCTGATCTGCAAGGTTTAAAAAATTATATTTTAATACTTCTGTGGCAAAAAATAGTCGTCAATAACCTTCAGGAGAGGATCTAAGGCACATAAATTCTTAGAAGCAAGTAGAGAGTAAAATTTTGGACTAATTGGCCATTACATTTCTCAGTAACTTCACCTACATTAAAGACCCACAGGAAAATTGATGAAGAATGAAACAACTACTTGATTACTTAAATATTTGTAATCATACCATCTGATCAGCCAACAGCAGGACAGTCTTCAGGCTGAACTTCCTGGAACAAAAATTGAAAAGATCCTCCAGACTGGGGCCAAGCAACTCCATCACCATCACGTTGTAATCTCCTTCTGCACCACACCACTTTATGGTAGGGATGCCAACTGCAAAGAAAGCACAAAAAACCCTAAATACACCCAACTGAAAACCAAACATGTATTTTTGGCATGTATGAAATATATCATTGATTACATTAATTTATTTATTGAGCACCTGAGCTCCTTATTTACAGATGACACAAAACACTGATCTCAATTACCTCCACCCTGCATCATCTTGTAAATCTTGCTCTCGATGTGGAGCTGAGGGTGCTTTGTCTTCACACATTCCAGTTTGATGGCCACTTCCTCTCCGACTGAAATGTCCGTGCCTGGGGAAGATCGAGAAACAGATCCATTAAAACAGTGAATGGAGTCTGAATCCAACAAAAATGAAATGACTGCAGATCATAATTAATTGAACTTTATACTTTGTCTGTATACACTTGAAAAGTTTGACCAATTTAATGTATACTCGCTGAATATAAGTTCTTATTTCTTTAAGAAAAATAGTGCATGCCCCAGACGGACCTCAGAGATGCTCAACTTTATCCAAAAAAAACCAAGCAAAAAATGCCAGGCGGCAACCAATCAAAATGAGAAGTGTTATGCTGATTATGCTGAAAATATGCTGATTGTTCCCATTTCTTCTGAATTAAGTGCTTAAATCATATTGTTTACACATTGGACAGATTAAAGTCGTTTTATGCATGTTAAATATTGTAGTTTGGATGTGTATTTCATTGTGAATTGGCTGGCTTTGTTTGTCACTCTCTTTACATTGGGCGTATGTGTGATGATTGATTATATAGCCTGTGTGCTGAAAAAACAGATTAAACATCCGCTCTGAAGAGCACACTACAAGGTGTAGTTGTTGAGTGAAGTTCTGCCGTTTGGTGGATATTTACCATCAGTATGTAATCAGAATACAGTGGGCTTACAAATTAGAAGAAAGCACTATCTTTCTGTCACTGTTCTAGTTGCAGTTATTAGCAACATCATCTCACAGAAGGATGTTCAACTGTTGTTATCAAGTGAGTTTGGAGTAAAGCATGTTATTAAATGTCTTTTGTTGGACAAGAGGTTCATAAACGAATGATGTTTGGAAAGATGTTTGACACGCATTGCTTTTTCAAATGCATGTTTTAAGTGACTCAAACTCACAGTGGTTTCAGATAGAAAAGCATTTAAGAGCCGTACATCAATGACAAGCTGCGCATAACAAATAATCGCAGCATTTGCAATTTCAAAATCACGATAAGCCAAATCGGTTGAAGTGCGATTACATGGAAATTGCGATCAATCGTGCAGCCCTACTTTTTAAACGTGTTTCAAATTGTAATTCATTAGCACCGCAATGTGTAAGGAAATAGGCCTAATGTTTCAAAATCGTGATTAGAATTGAAATCACAACATTGATCAAAAAATGTTATGTTTTGTCTAGGGCTGCAACTAACGATTATTTTGATAATCGATTAATCGGACGATTATTTTTTCGATTAATCGATTAATCGGATAAAAAATTATATTTCATTTTTTGTTTATTATAACAAAATAAAACCCTAAAAACCACACTCTTTTGTGTGTTAAATAATCTACTTAATACAGATAACTTCATTATAAAGAAAAACAAGAAATAAAAAAAATATATGACCATAACCTATGACAAAAATGCTATTGTAAACTAGATTAGTGGATAACTCAGCAAAACTTAGCCTAGAAATATCACAAGTGCACAATAATTTTATAAAATCTAAACATTTAGTGAAAAAAACATTCCTTAGTGGGGAACAAATAAGAGACAATAAGTGTAGCACTAACTCTGGTAAAACGTACACATTGCTCTTTGTATTGTTGTTATACATTCATGAAAAACATCGTAAAAATCAGATGCACAGCTGTTTTAAATGTAAAGCACAGCTGTTTAGTGAGGAAGCAAAATATAATAGATAGGACAGAACAAGAAAGGCTATTAATAAGCTTTCATTGCGCAAAAGTATTATGACATGATCATGAAAGAGCTGCACAGAGTGCAAATGCGCATCGCGAGCGCTGAATGATGCGCTTGAAGCAACACGGAGTCACAGGGCGGCGCGCAGCTCTTCAGTGTCCGCCGCATTAAAGTTAAAAGCACCAAGGAAAGAGAAAGACATATTGACGGTGTATTATACAGTATCTATGCAATAGTTTATTAAGCCTTTTCTTTTAACAGTTTTAAATTTCAGTTAGGCTACTGTGCACGTGAAGAACAATTATACTGCGCCGACTCTACTATAGTGTTGTGATCTAACAGACACTCAGTAGAAAGTGATTAAGTTACAGCAATAAAAGTCTAGCAAGATAGAAAAACCATCAGACCTTTATCTACGGATCAATTATAATAACATTGAATCATCTTGGAAAGAGATCATCATGTTAACTGTTGTAACGCGACGCGCTGTTTGAACACCGAATAGAGAATGACTGACAGCCGCAGTGGAGGGAAAAGCTTAGGTTAACTTGAATTTAATGACTTAAATATACATTTCTATCTCACATTATACTATAGTATGGCTTCATAAAGTATACACGATTAACGTAGGTCACCTATTTTGGTTTCAAAACGGCGAATTTACCGAAAGGTGAATGATTTTCGTGTGCTGCATATTGATAGCGGTTTCCTGATGACCGCAAATTAGTTCAAACTCACTGAATCAAGAGTGCGCATGCGAGACAGAAGATAATGAGCTCCAAACTGTCCGTGTTGCGCGCGCGAGACAGGGTAGAGCGGCGAGGGAGAGAGACTGCATGTGCGCCTCATGAAGCGCATGTAAGAAGCGCATGTTCCATGTAAACAATCCCTGTGACGTAATCAGACCAACTAATCGATAATGACATTCGTTGACAACGATTTTCATAATCGATTATAATCGATTTTATCGATTAGTTGTTGCAGCCCTAGTTTTGTCCATATCACACAGACCTACTTTAATTTAAATAGTAAAGCTCTATCGTGCAGTACTTTGTTAGCCAATTTTTTTTCTTAAGTTGCCAGCCATTGTCTGCATTCTTTTAAAAACAATGTTTTATTCAAGCTTTATGCATATTTTTTAGTCAACACTGAATGTGGGCAAGTTTCATAAAAAAAAGCAATCCCCATCTACGGTGGGGAAGCAATGGCCCCTTCCCCACGTACAGTCTGTACTGGTAAATTACAGGTAACACATCATGTTTGAACAGGATCTTTGGTTGCATTGGTTCCTGCAATATACCAGTAAGGGAAGTTGTAACATTATCAGTAAATTAACGGTATATGCTCCATGTGAATGCAGGATTACCAGTATTTTGCACAAACCAGGTCAGAATGCAATGAACGCAAGTCATTTGGGCCAATCAGAAGCTATTGAAAATGCAACGACTTTGGGCCATTCATTCAATTATGAAGCGTTTAAGACCCTTGCACACCAAATCCGAAATTCTCGCGCGTTAAAAAATAAATACGACCTCACGTTATGTCAATCACGCTTGCACACAGCCTCTGAAACTTTCGAAAAAAATCAAAACGGGTTCCATTTTCTGCATTTTTCGCATCTGTAACAAGCAGTTTGAGTGGTGTTTTGACAATTCAGAGCCACTAAATCACAAAATACAAAAGATCGCATACGAAAATTTCGGTCTCAGTGATGAAGGGCCTTTACTCAGGACTGTTTACAAGTGTATTCAAATTGAAGTGATACCGAAACTAAACCGCTTCTCGTCTGGGGGGACGAAGAAGAGATTTGTCAACAAGGAACAGTTAGCAATCGTTCTGGCAATTAATTGAATGGGATTGCTGTGTTAAAGGGGATATGGTCTCAAAAGACGGAAAATTCCATCAATGGCAGATAAGAGAACTGTTAATTTAATTACATTCTAAAAGATTAGTTACAGATTTATTCAGATAAAATCTTCTACACAGATTTGATTACCACTTCATTTCATTTTAGGAGATCAACAGCCCAAATTCTTGTGAAAAAGAGCACTCTGGACATTCTGCTAAATATCTGTTTTCAAAAGACAATAAATAAAAAAAATGAAACTGAAACTACTACTCATAGCCATTTAAACAGAAACCCAAGGACTTGTTCAGCTTGTTCTTGAGATGTAAAAAAAAAAACAACAACAAATGATAATAATCTTCCCTTCCGCTGTTAGCAAAGAAACTCAAAACGGCACGTCAAATAGCACATCAAATCTACGCACAAATTAATCAAGCAAACTAGACATTTATTCAAAGAGTACAAACAGTCAGTAAACCATGATTCCATTTAGATTAAATTTACATAAAATTCTACCTATCTTTGCCAGCAAACAATGAAATGAACCAGCTTCTGCTCTGGTTTCAGATCAGCTTTACAGCCCTGATAAAGAAAACCAATAATATGGGAGTATTAAGCAAGTAATTCCACACCTAATAAAAACTGCTGCCTATCCAACAGTTGACTCAAGAATTAGGATGCCAAACTGCTGATAAGGTGAATGCAAACTGTAGTCTGATAGTTAAATGAGAAGTAAGGGAAGTTAAAGATATGGCATCTGGTCGAAACATCCATCACATCACAACCCTGAATCAAAAACTCAGAGGTTACATAAAAGCTGATGGGAAGGACCCAGAATTGTAAACGAGTTGGACAGTCCAGGATGATTCACACACCTGAGGCCTCCTATGATGCCAAGTGATGCAAATGTAACGGAATCCCAGGAAAAGGGAGAGGTATTGCATCGGATGATTTGTAAAAGCAGTAAGTGATGTGACTAGTCCAATCTTGTTGGGTTTGATCTTCTGAGCCATTAAATGCCAAGGACATGGCAGATGATTTGAATGCATTTCACAGAGTCAAGATCTTCAAGTTACATTGCCACAAAATAACACCTCGGACATATTTACTACGAAGTATTATTCAAAAACCACTTAATTATGCTGACATACCAAAGAGTGGGTGAGTGCAGATATGAAACCGAAGCAAGCAGATGAGAGTTTAATGTCTCACCACACCCACCAAGCCCTGTTCTCACACAGACAGACTGAAACAATTCTATCACAGCCAGAAAGCTTTAGTATAAAGGTCTCGCCAAACTACATAATGATCAAAGTCCCCTCACAAACATTGTTTCTCTGTCAAAATAAAAGCAAGCTGATTGCATTTGAGCCTGACATGTGGTTTGATTAAGTTAAACTTTCTGTTGACAGGTTTCAATCCACAGAGATACGAATTAAGGCCAACAGACGCAAAACTTCCTTTAATGCCTCCTGAATAAGAGACAAACGTCATTTCTTACTAGCTCTACCACAAGTACATTTAATCACAGGCTTGAGTTAAATTAAACACCATAGTGGTTAAGAATACTAGAAGTTGTAAAGGTAGATTTTGAACTAATCAACTTGTTAAGAGAGCATAAAACGACCTACTTTGGTGATCCAAACCGGTGGTGCAAAAACAATGGCTTTCTATTGCCATCAATGCGATATCTAAATGTCAACCATAGATATTCAAATGATAAACACCATCCTGGTGTGTACTGATACTCTCAACCATGAAGGCCATCTAGCACATAAATAAAAGAGTTTCTCAGGTCCCTGACTGTGTTGCTCCAGGACAGCTTTATTGATTAAAAGAACTTTAGGAAAAATGTACCATGACCCCACGATCAGGAAAACGAGACTGCATGAATCAAACACAGTGCTCTAAATGCAAGATCTCGAGTTTTAGTAGACTGCAGAAGCAAATCTAGGCTTGGTTGGATAACCATGAAATGCTGATTCAATATGTCAGGTATGGGTGGTTCAAGCTTTCAGTGAAACCTGTATGGACAGGTGACATTCACTCAAAGTTACACAGAAGGGAGGACCAGTTTGTAAACTCCTGCTCACGTGTTCAATGAAATTACACCTCAATTTAAAGCAAATAGGCCTAATGTGTTGTCTTGTCAGTGATGTCACTGACATCTGAATCTAGTGTCAAAAGCACATATTTTTTATGGTGACATATATGACATCCTGTTGTGTTTAAACCACTCTATAACTTACGGTTGTCCCAAAGGGGACGTGAAGATGATTTACCCTACAACTACAATAAACCACTTACGTTCTTGTCATTGTTATAAAACATGGTATTCATTTCTATAAACTCAAACAACTGAGAAACGGACCTCATAAGGAGACTATAACGAGTAAATCTGGGGAAAACGCCTCTGACAGTTAGCTGCTACAGTTGACAGATATATAAAACAATACAGCATTTAAGCGGTGTCATATTAATGACAGCTTTATGGCAAGAGAGTATACAGGTGTTGAAGTCTATACGTACCCAGATATATGTCTCCAAATGATCCACTTCCAATTTTTCGACCCAGTCTGTATCTGTTTCCAACTCGTAGCTCCATCGCTGTTTACTGGTTTCTCCCGACGGAGTCACTCGACTGTATTTCAGCTAATTTCTATTAAACCAGATGGTGTCAGCCCTTAAATTCGATGTTACGTTAATATTTTCACGCGTTATTTAACTGCTACGATCCTATATATCTCTATGCGACCCCAACCCCCCCGAAACCCTGAAGAGAATTCGGATTCTTCCGGCTGAGTTCACTTTTCACCATTCCTTTTCTAATATATAAAAGCCCGGAATTTCACAATATTGTGATCAGGTGAAAGCTTAGAGTCTGTAGATTATGCTCCTGTCGGTTTGGTCACCATTTTCCCCAAGGATAAAGAAGATGGAGGTGGATTTTAACAACAGACCCCAGTCGCCGCCGCAGCTGTCAAAGGCCTCGTAGTCGTATCTCTCCTGTGGTGGTAGACACAAACGTAGCGCTGTGACGTCACTTCCCCTTGGCGACGCCTCGCTCGCCACAGTCACGTGGGAGAAACGCTGGGCGAGTTTCATTAGGTCAGTCTCATTAACTGTCTCGAACACCAATTAATTCATCATATGTGGACATCTTTACATTCGTCACACATATATCTTCTTATTCAGTGATTTGTATTGTTGAATAGAATAGCGGACATGTACTAAGTATCTGTTTTGTTACACATTAACGTGTATTCCAGTTGTTCAAGTTACATCGTTACAATAGTTACAGATTATAATAGATATAGGAATACCAGTAGCAAATAAATAAATACTAGACTAAATCCAAAAATATACTGGTCACTATTCGATGACTTACTATTAGTTTAAAAAAAAAATATATATATATATATAAATACAAATAACAAAAGTATTTGAAGGTTTTTTTAATAAATTAAGTAATAATAAATAGAAATATAATACATATAAAGTGGATATTTGGTTTAAAACTAGTTCAGATATAGTAAATGGGAAAAACACTTGGCTTAAGATCTTAAGATAACGCGTCATCTGTGTAATACGTGCTCCATCTGGTTTGCTCTTACTGAAGCTGTTCCAGCTTACTGAAACACCGAAGCAAATGCTTTGTAATAAACAAGGCAGTGGGACAGCAGTGGAACAGCGTAACATATTGTACTCTCTGAAGTGTTTGGGGGCATGGACACACCCACCTACTCGATGATTGGTGGATGTTGTTTTGATTGGTCACACAGTACCCAATCAGGACATGATCACATGGCTGTAATGTTTTCCAGCAGGTTGCGTAACAGTCTTGCACGTGTTTTTCAATGCAAGTCTTGCGGAGTAAATTTAGAACCGTTCAGAAAAAAAGCCTGTAATTGAGCGTGATTTTAACCTAGCCTTTCAAATAAAAATGCTTATCTATATACTTAATTTTAGAATAAATGTGTTGTTTGCATCTATCTCTCCTTAATGTCTGCCTAAAATATGTTTAAATTATATGCCTATAAATAATTTTTAGTGTAACACAATCAATAATGCAATATATATATATATATATATATATATATATATATATATACGTTATATTTTTCATTAGGCTTTTAGTTTTCCAGATACAAACTAGTCAAAAGCTTCGACCTACTACTTCTTTATTATACTATAAAACGGGATTATGGTAATTATGAATTTAAAATTATAAACTAAACGATACTTGCCTTCAAAGTATTAACTCTACAGAAGAATATTTTTGAATGGTTGTGGACAGAAATTATTTATTTGGTAACGAGGACATCTAGTGGTCATTGATATGAATAGTAGCAGCCACTAACATGAGCAGCCTGTCTGTGATATTCCTCTGTATAATATGAAAATACACAGGACAATGTCTTGATCCACAGTGCTACAAAAATTCCTCCAACGAATGACCTTTAAAGCTCAAAATTGTATGTGCTTATTATGTAGGCCTTCTCCTTTGCTTAAGTTGATTTATGGAATACAGCTATTTTGGCAGACTTGTTTACTAGTGTACCATTTAGCATGTCTATACGCTTAAACATCGGGAGCTTTCTCAGTAACTACACATCTCATGATGAATCAAGTGACTGGGAGGAAAAGCACTTTGCAGAGATTATAAACATGGAGAGTCTGATCTGATGACTATGTTTGAACAGCATTCTTTTGTCCTTGACTGAAAGTTGTTCAATAACATGAACTGTTTCAAATCAAGATTAAAAAGGGTTTTTTAGGCTTATGCAAAGTTCGACAAATAGACAAATGTGCCTATATGTTTTTGCAAATAAAAGTTCGTTGTCAATATATTACAATCCTTATATAGCCCTATCTTAACTGAAATGTTTGTGTTCTTAAAATACTAATCTTGTTCTTTAAAAGATTATTTGAAACCATTAGCTATTTAACATTTACCTGAAAAGTCTTTATTACTTTTATATGGCACTGCTCTTCTCTTTCTCTCTCTTGGTCTCCTCTGGCTGCTTTATTTGCAAGATTTCTTTTCTTTTAAATTTGTCCTTTTTGTTGTTTTCATTTCACCCCACCCACTTGGATGTATCCATGCTCCTCCCTCTGTTCTCCTCCTTTCCTGAACTTTTTTTCCCTGGCTCTTCATGGCATGCTGAGTTTGGGAGTGCAGGAGGGAGATGTCTTAAAAACACTGTCAGGCGATAAGACTCAGAGAGACAGAGCAGTGCATCCCAGTCAACGTAAGCATCCCGTGGACCCTCAGGTTTGGACCTGCCAAGATAAAGGTAGGGAATGTTCAATAGGATGTTTTAAGTTAGAAGTCTTTTCATTTTTGTAAATAGGGGCTATTCTCTTTGAACAAATATATCACAAGGTTACATAATGACAAGTGCAACAGTGTATAAAACCTTTTCCAGATGTCAGGGAAACTGAATTCTGATGCAAAAAAATATGCCCAAGACTTTTAGCTGTGTTTTTTTTTTTTACTTTTTACTGACTTCAATGCACCATGTAAGTGAATGAGTACATTTCCAGATCAAGAATGACAGGTAGTTATTCCACTTTATGAGTGTTGTTGGTTGCTCACATTGAATGTATGCATAGTGATAGAAAAACATGTAGGTGTCCTCCACTATAATATTGTTTTATTTTGAGACAATGTTAAGATGACTGTTAGATCTATCAAGCTTAGAAATGTACAAATACATTTTAGCAGCAGGTGCAAGGCGAAAGGACACTGGGTTGGGTTAAATGTCCTGGGTTTCATGTGGTTTTAATATTAAAATAACGAAAACTAATTCATTCGGCTAGTGATGGATCCCACCCTGTCCCCAAGGAAGATCTACCAAATCCCAGGAATCATTGTAAATTTTACGGAGACAATATAAATCCTAAAATGTATTTTGATTATCCATGGAAGGAGTAGCACTGCCACAGGGTGCAGGAACTGAATCTAGGACATGAATTCTTGAGGCATGCCATCACAAAGCCAAGTTCATTGCCTCATCTCTTGCAACTGGGAGAGACAGTGGAAATATGACACTATGAAGATCAGTGCTACACCTAATTGCTTTTAACCCCACCAAATGTTTCAACTAGAAGCATCATTTTCTTGCATAATTTTACAGATTAAATGGTAGTGAGCTGGGAATTACCCACCACTGTTACCCAGTCAATCCCCAGTAGATAAAAAGTCAGTTTTCTTTCACTTTGAAATACATCACACTAATATGGAAGTTTCTGCCAGGGAATAAAAATAAAAAAGGCAATTGCGACCTAAAGTGTAAGATATAAACTCGCAATTCTGACTTTTCTCAGAACAAAGATATCGCAATTGAGTTATAAAGTCAAAGTTGCAAGATAGCATTTGCAATTCTAACTTCTCTTTCGCAATTTCGAGTTTATATCTTGCAATTGTAAGTTAGAAAAGTTATACATAATTGCTACTTAAGATATAAACTCCAAATTCTGTAATTTTCCTTGCAATCTTGTAAGCTTATCCCCCACAATTCTAATTTTTTAATAGAATTGTAAGATATGGTAAATTCGTAGCTGTGAGTTATAAAGAGAAAAAATTCCAGATTCTCTTCTTCTATTTTGTATAAGAAACAAGCTTCCATACATTGAAGTAAAATGGGTTGAAAAGCTGAAGATGAGTGTTTTTCTTCAGTTCAGTGAACCATGGAGGATATCCAAGTTAAGGCACAGTGGCTTATACAGGTCAAGGGTGAAACTGACCTTTTAGTGTTTTGCCACACAGACTTCAAAGTGACCACCGCACTGTTGGCCAGAACCAAATTCTGCGGTGTCTATTTCTAGTCTAAAGTATTTAGTATTTCTAAAAATAATATACTAACAACATTATCATTTCTGCAGTATATAGTATGTACAATGTGTGCTCATTCATACCCAGTGTGATGAACGAATGAATTTTCATCGTATCCTCCTCCTCCTAAAAACAAAAAAGTGCAGACAATTGCAGGGGGTGAACTTCAACAATCCTGTGAGTTTGCAAACAAGGAATTGAATAACATCATGTACCTGTACCAACAAGTCTCTACCCTTTTATATGGGAAGGGGACCTACAAAGACAATATTACACCTTTTGATTGCTCGGTTATGGGCATTTATGTTAACAAATTGAATTAAAAGTGAAGCGACAAATTGTGGTTTCAATGTATCATTGCCTTGACGTTACAAGCACAATCTTGGGGTTGCCAACAAATGCAATACCATCAAAAACCAAGCTGAATAACATAATTTGCCTGCCACTAACTGAATACTTTCATATTATAATAATTCAGTTGTTTTATAGTTTTAATTTATATAAGTAAATGTCTAAACTAAAAATTATTTAAAATATACATGTTAAAAAAATAACTGAATGGGACTTAGGAGGCCACGCGAGTCTTCCCACAAAACTAATATATGAGTATGTTATTCTCTCAAAGAAAGTATGGAAAATGAAAGTAATTTTACACTCAAATTACTTACTTTGAGTACCCAGCTGTGTTTCATGAACTTGCCTTTTCTGATAATAGCATCCAAATGCACTCTAGGAACTAACCGTAAGTCCTGAAGGCAAAGAAGATTGTTGTTTTAATAAGATGGATGTTTATTTACTCTGTTGATGGACATGTTCACTTTCATTCCCTGAAGTTCATTCAACTTCCTCTGAAGAAACTCTATTACAAAAGAGCCGCAAATAATTGGAGAGATTTTGAATGTGAGAAAAACATGTTGGTCCAAGCATGTACAGTAGGAAAGGGTACATGTTACAGTAGGCTACAATGAACCTGGCATATGGAGGTTTTAAATGACTATAGTGACAGAAGCATTCAGTATGAGTATTAAGTATGTGGTTGAAAGTTGGCCATTGGGGAGTGTTTGGTCACACACCCAAATCCAAAGAATTGAGCCAGTACCTCATTTCTGTAGTCAAAGAGACCAAATGTACCCCAGTGATGAACTGTTTATGTTACAGTGCACCTGGTGGGCCTCACCTTAAATATGATCCAGAACCAAACACCTACAGTAAGAATTGGCCAACTGTAAGAAGACCACAAGCTTGTTTTCCATTGAGAAAATCCACCAAAGCCACACCTCGTAGTTCCGACACGCCACTGCATGCCTGCGGAATTGTGTAG